TATTTAAAAATTTTATGTCTTTTTGGTAAATTTAAACTTCATAGTTAATTTCGTAACCACTAAAAAGTGTGAAATTATGCTTAGTCCAATGGTATGGACTGCTGAATCGAAATCTGAAGGTTGTGGGTTCAAATCCAGGGTGGAAATTTTAGATTTTAAAATGTATTTCTTTTTGGGTAACTTGAAACTTGATAGTTATTTCGTAACCTTTAAAATTGTGAAATTAGGCTTAGTCCAATGGTACGGACTGCTGACTCGAAATCTGAAGGTTGTGGGTTCAAATCCAGGGTGGAAGTTTTAGATTTTAAAATTTTATGTCTTTTTGGGTAAATTTAAACTTCATAGTTAATTTCGTAACCACTAAAAAGTGTGAAATTATGCTTAGTCCAATGGTACGGACTGCTGACTCGAAATCTGAAGGTTGTGGGTTCAAATCCAGGGTGGAAATTTTAGATTTTAAATGTTTTTCTTTTTGGGTAAATTGAAACTTGATAGTTAATTTCATAACCTTTTAAAATTGTGAAATTACACTTAGTCCAATGGTATGGACTGCTGACTCTAAATCTGAAGGTTGCGGGTTCAAATCCAGGGTGGAAATTTTAGATTTTAAAATGTATTTCTTTTTTGGTGAATTTAAATTTTATAGTTAATTTCGTAACCACTTAAAGGTGTGAAATTATGCTTAGTCCAATGGTACGGACTGCTGACTCGAAATCTGAAGGTTGTGGGTTCAAATCCAGGGTGGAAATTTTAGATTTTAAAATTGATTTCTTTTTGGGTAAATTGAAACTTGACAGTTATTTCGTAACCTTTAAAAATAGTGAAATTAGGCTTAGTCCAATGGTATGGACTGCTGACTCGAAATCTGAAGGTTGTGGGTTCAAATCCAGGGTGGAAATTTTAGATTTTAAAATTTATATCTTTTTTGGTAAATTGAAACTTGATAGTTATTTCGTAACCTTTAAAAATTGTGAAATTAGGCTTAGTCCAATGGTACGGACTGCTGACTCGAAATCTGAAGGTTGTGGGTTCAAATCCAGGGTGGAAGTTTTAGATTTTAAAATTTTATGTCTTTTTGGGAAAATTGAAACTTGATAGTTAATTTCGTAACCACTAAAAAGTGTGAAATTATGCTTAGTCCAATGGTTTGGACTGCTGACTCGAAATCTGAAGGTTGTGGGTTCAAATCCAGGGTTGAAATTTTAGATTTTAAAATTTATTTCTTTTTTGGTAAATTTAAATTTGATAGTTAATTTCGTAACCACTAAAAAGTGTGAAATTATGCTTAGTCCAATGGTATGGACTGTTGACTTGAAATCTGAAGGTTGTGGGTTCAAATCCAGGGTGGTAGTTTTAGATTTTAAAATTTTATGTCTTTTTGGGTAAATTTAAATTTGATAGTTAATTTCGTAACCACTAAAAGTGTGAAATTATGCTTAGTCCAATGGTATGGACTGTTGACTTGAAATCTGAAGGTTGTGGGTTCCAATCCAGGGGGGAAATTATAGATTTTAAAAATTTATTTCTTTTTGGGTAAATTGAAACTTTATAATTAATTCCGTAACCACTAAAAAGTGGGAAATTATGCTTAGTCCAATGGTATGGACTGTTGACTTGAAATCTGAAGGTTGCGGGTTCAAATCCAGGGTGGAAGTTTTAGATTTTAAAATTTTATGTCTTTTGGGTAAATTTAAACTTCATAGTTAATTTCGTAACCACTAAAAAGTGTGAAATTATGCTGAGTCCAATGGTATGGACTGCTGACTCGAAATCTGATGGTTGTGGGTTCAAATCCAGGGTGGAAATTTTAGATTTTAAAATTTATTTCTTTTTGGGTAAATTGAAACTTCATAGTTATTTCGTAACCTTTAAAAATGGTGAAATTGGGCTTAGTCCAATGGTATGGACTTCTGACTGAAATCTGAAGGTTGTTGGTTCAAATCCAGGGGGGAAATTATAGATTTTAAAATTTTATTTCTTTTTGGGTAAATTGAAACTTCATAGTTAATTTCGTAACCACTAAAAAGTGTGAAATTATGCTTAGTCCAATGGTACGGACTGCTGACTCGAAATCTGAAGGTTGTGGGTTCAAATCCAGGGTGGAAATTTTAGATTTTAAAATTGATTTCTTTTTGGGTAAATTGAAACTTGACAGTTATTTCGTAACCTTTAAAAATAGTGAAATTAGGCTTAGTCCAATGGTACGGACTGCTGACTCGAAATCTGAAGGTTGTGGGTTCAAATCCAGGGTGGAAATTTTAGATTTTAAAATTTATATCTTTTTTGGTAAATTGAAACTTGATAGTTATTTCGTAACCTTTAAAAATTGTGAAATTAGGCTTAGTCCAATGGTACGGACTGCTGACTCGAAATCTGAAGGTTGTGGGTTCAAATCCAGGGTGGAAGTTTTAGATTTTAAAATTTTATGTCTTTTTGGGAAAATTGAAACTTGATAGTTAATTTCGTAACCACTAAAAAGTGTGAAATTATGCTTAGTCCAATGGTTTGGACTGCTGACTCGAAATCTGAAGGTTGTGGGTTCAAATCCAGGGTTGAAATTTTAGATTTTAAAATTTATTTCTTTTTTGGTAAATTTAAATTTGATAGTTAATTTCGTGACCACTAAAAAGTGTGAAATTATGCTTAGTCCAATGGTATGGACTGTTGACTTGAAATCTGAAGGTTGTGGGTTCAAATCCAGGGTGGTAGTTTTAGATTTTAAAATTTTATGTCTTTTTGGGTAAATTTAAATTTGATAGTTAATTTCGTAACCACTAAAAGTGTGAAATTATGCTTAGTCCAATGGTATGGACTGTTGACTTGAAATCTGAAGGTTGTGGGTTCCAATCCAGGGGGGAAATTATAGATTTTAAAAATTTATTTCTTTTTGGGTAAATTGAAACTTTATAATTAATTCCGTAACCACTAAAAAGTGGGAAATTATGCTTAGTCCAATGGTATGGACTGTTGACTTGAAATCTGAAGGTTGCGGGTTCAAATCCAGGGTGGAAGTTTTAGATTTTAAAATTTTATGTCTTTTTGGGTAAATTTAAACTTCATAGTTAATTTCGTAACCTTTAAAAATGGTGAAATTGGGCTTAGTCCAATGGTATGGACTTCTGACTCGAAATCTGAAGGTTGTTGGTTCAAATCCAGGGGGGAAATTATAGATTTTAAAATTTTATTTCTTTTTGGGTAAATTGAAACTTCATAGTTAATTTCGTAACCACTAAAAAGTGTGAAATTATGCTTAGTCCAATGGTACGGACTGCTGACTCGAAATCTGAAGGTTGCGGGTTCAAATCCAGGGTGGTAGTTTTAGATTTTAAAATTTTATGTCTTTTTGGGTAAATTTAAACTGCATAGTTAATTTTGTAACCACTAAAAGTGTGAAATTATGCTTAGTCCAATGGTATGGACTACTGACTCGAAATTTGAAGGTTGTGGGTTCAAATCAAGGGTGGAAATTTTAGATTTTAAAATTTTATTTCTTTTTGGGTAAATTGAAACTTAATAGTTAATTCCGTAACCACTAAAAAGCATGAAATTATGCTTAGTGCAGTGGTTCAGACTGCTGACTCTAAATCTAAAGGTTGCAGGTTCATTCCCACACTGGGAATTTTAGATTTCAAAATTTTACTACTTTTTAGGTCAATTGAAACTTTAGTTAATTTTTTAACTACAAAATAGTGTGAAGTTGTGCTTAATCAAGTAATACGGACTGATGACCCTAAATCTGAACTTCTGAAGGTTGCTAGTTCAAGTTCCACAGTTGGAGTTTTAGATTTTAAAATTTTATTAATTTTGAGGTCAATTGAAACTTTATATTTTTTTCAAGTTTGAAACCAGTCCACACTTCTAGTCTAGCAAAAGCCAAAAAGTAAAAAAGCAAATACTTTTAGCTTGAAGCAAATAGTGAAAGCATTTGCTCTCATTTTTATTCATGCAAATAAAAGTTATGCTTAAAAATACGTAATAAAAAAAAGAAGCAAATGCTAGTTTTTATACATATGACCAAATGTTTCAATGTTAATCATAATTGCATCGTATATGTTTCAGTAATAGATATAAAGTGTTTGAGGACCTACGTGGATCTGTTTGGGCCTACAACGACGCCCATTCACTGAGCGGATTCGGGATTGCCCATCGAGAACTCGAAAAGATAGGAGAGACCAAGGCCAGTTGCTTTGGTAAAATTTTTCATTCAGGTAAGACAAACTTCCATGAAGACTCAACTCATTAGTTCAAGTCCCCCCCCCCCCCCCAACTAAGCCCTAAGACAACACTGAGTGTACACTGTTTACAAAATATGTCCGGTTTCATTTAGTTAAGTGGCTTTCAGGCTGTTAGTTCTCCCACGTTTTAATAGTGGCCCCTGATTTGACATTTGTCTTCAAACATTCTTTTGTCAAAGCCATCGGGGCAGAATATTTTTGGCATGCTGTTGGAAAGAATCAATTTTCAACTTTTGTTCTTGTGAAAATCCTGTTGCGTGACATCACAGCCTGTGTTGTGATGTGGATGAGTTCTACCTGATTGATAAACGTGACCGACTCAGAGGTGTCATGTCTTGGTGACAGTCCCTCGCTTGTCAGTAGGTACAGAATGTCATTTGGTGTGAACGTCCTTTATATCCAAAGTCAAGGAGTCATGTCCCACAGTATCTCCGGGGTTATCCACGGTGTTGCCGAGCGGCTCCGAATCCTCCTCAGACGTTATCGTCATGACAACTGTCTGCTCCATGTTCCCAAGGGTGCCCTCCGAGGACGACATCATGGACATGTGTGAGATGTCCTGTGATTGGTCAGCCAGGTCTGGTACCAAGACTGTAGATTCAGCTGCAGATTCCTCGGGGGCTGATTTGGATAATGCGCAGGCCTGAGTGTACAGCCGTAGCTGTGCTAGATGGTGGTGCAGCAGCTGGGTGTGCTGCTCAGATATGTGTTGCAGTAACTCTTGCAAAATGGACTGGTTCTCGCTGTCGTTGGTTAGACGTTTCATCAAACTGGACGTGTGAATCATGGACAGCTGCTGCTTGAGTGACGTGTTTGTGTTGGACAAATACTCAACCTGGAGAGCAAGAAGGATGGGCAGAGAAATTATTTGTTTACAGATGGAATTTTAATAGACCAATCCATTAGGCTCTGCCCCATGATGTGTAACCAATCACAACCATGACAATGCACCCCAAAGTCTGACATTTATGCACTTTATGATGTGTGCAGTTGGAGCATGAATGCTTAAGAAAGCACATGTGTTGTTGCCCAGTTATTTAGTGCAACTAGAGTATGAGTGAAACCACGAATCCTCTACACAAGGATAAACTACACATCTGAGCTTGTGTACAAAATGTGTGCAACGGTTTGTCTGCATTTATCATAAGCAGCGTCAGCGCATAGAACAACGTAGAACGTGTAGAAAATGTAGAGCAATGACAACAGTGCACACCATGATCGCCCACAGCCATGACAGCTGGCATCCTAACAGAAATCTGACCACTGAAAGAACGCAGTCGCATTAGTGTGCCTGCATTAGTTCTGATCAAGGTATGTCCCCCCTCCCACTTTTGAGAAGCGATTGACGTCCTTGGTACCTGTTGCATGCAGGGAACAAGATCCAAACTCATTCTTAGACCAAGACCAGATGGAATGCCCACTCACCTTTGTACGAAGCCTTTCTATAGTGCCTTTCATCCTGTGCTCTGTCTGGGCCAACGTGGTCTGCTCCTCCTCAAGAGTCTTCTCCAGACTTTCCTTCTCCTGCAGCAGCAGCGACAAGTTGTGCTCTGTGTAGCAAGTCTCGTCCTCCAAATCCTCTTTGCTTCCTTCGTCTGGTATTTCAATAAGGACAACTGTTTACGAGAGGGAAAGGTTGAGCAATTATCCTGGATAATGATTCCTGTAATAATGAAAGTCGGTCATCAAAAGGTCACTCCAGGTGTGGGCTACACAAAGAGGGGAAATGATGGGAGGAGTTTATGGAGTAGAAAGGTCGACATATATGTTGCGCTTGAATGGGACAGATAATATGTAGCGGTAAAAACAGGATAAAGGCAAGAAAGTCCCCAATGATGCAGTGTGTCAAGAACATGTAATTCCTTGTAACTGGGTGCAAGCAATCACTCACTTTTTCAAACCTTATTCCTAACAAATTCCAATATTTAATTAACTGTTGAAGTCAGCTTTCAAAATGTATTGCCACCCTGACTTATTATATTTTTTTTTTGCTTAAAACCTTCGAGTCTTCCAAAATTCAATCAACTTAAAATAACGCCAGTGGCACACTCTTTGCACCTTTAAATTCCAATTTGTAAAATCCACTGGCAATATTGGCTCTCACCCACCCCAACCCCCTTAAAAAAATGCTGAATTTTTGGTGGTTGTTTTATTTATTTTTTAAACAAGTGCAGGAGTGAAGACAACTATATTAAACATGCTGTTGTCTACCCATTCCCTTCTTTCATATGAATTCACGATATATCAATTGAAAACAAAGTTGGGGGGGGGGGGGATGGGTTGGGGGGGGGGGGAAGAGTGCTTCCTTGTATCAAATGCCTCCCCCTTGGCTTTTTGGTCAGCTTCTTCTAATTATCCTTCACTGCTGGTGGCATTATCCACCTTAACCTCTGGGTAGATGCTGAAGGATTCTTGGAGGGTCAGGGTTAATATTCTTACCATCTTACCTTCCCCATTGGCAGTGCTCTGGCTCGGATCATTGATGCAGGCATACTGGTACTCGATTTGCGGCTGCTGCCCGTCAGTCTGCTCATAGCCCCGGGGATGATGTGTCCGTCTCCGATGGCTGCTGTGACTGGGGGACTATGAGGTGTGTTACCAGGCTGGCACTGTTGGGTGCTGGGTCAGTGTATGTAGTGAAGATCTAGTTGACATACTGGGTAAAATGGTGGAGTGAAGTGGTTGAGGATGATTCAATGAGACAAAACCTGCAGGGTTGCAAAAGATTCAATTTACACCGCAAATGTACAAGGAAAAATTAAAGTTCAAACTTAATTATTTTGAAAGACCCTAAGTGTTGGCATTTGATAAAATCCACCAAAATCCTTGTAAACCACCATACCTGCTCACAAGGTACATCAATTTCAACTGATTAAATTTATTTCATTGTTTTGGTTTTTTTTCATGCAGATTAAAGGGGACCATTACATTACAGCAACGGCACACTCAGTTGTCTTGAAACAGCACTGAAACTGCGAAGGTTAAAAAAAATAAGTGCATTTTCAAACAGTTTGAGCCAAAAAGGTGTCTCTAATCATTCTCAAAAGAATAAATACTCGAGTCAAATGTTTGATTAGGAAATTTATTTCAGAGAGTCTTTAAAGCTATAAATAAGTCCAATGAGCTCCGGAATTCAAGCATCAGGAATTTACAACATTTTCTGAGTGAACCATGGTAGTTTACCCACCTGTGCCAATGTTTAATAGCTTATCACTGTTGATGCAGTTTAAAGGGAATAAAAGTATGCTTGGAAGGTCTTAATCACTCTGTTTAAAACCGCTTGGAGTCGAAGGCGATGGTATTTATCAGGACCCAGACTCCAAGCGGTCTTAAACTTAAATACCGACCAAGCACATATTTATTCCCATTCATAAATACCTATTCGGTCAAAAAAATCCAAACCTTTTGGTAAAAAAACCTGATTTTGCTCAACAAGTTCACTTCATGTTTTTTTAACACCCCTCTATAGCTAAATAATGGAGTGTCCAGCTTGCGAGTAAGATGTTAACATCTCCTTTTTTGGAGATAGGCACACGCGTCGCACATACTGCGCGATGTCATGCAAAACGCACCTGGGGCGTTGCGTTGTGAATTTAGGACTATAAAATACTGACTCACTGGTAGCATTGCACATGCCTACGTGAGGACCAATAAAATGGAAAGAGGCACTGGATTTCATAGGAGCCAAAATTTCAAGTGAGACTGGAAAAGAGTTGAAGACCAGCCAGCCATGTCTTTATCATCCGTTTAAGACCAGCCACATAGCAGCTTCTCGACCAACAGGAATGGATAAACTGCCATAGGTATTTATGAATTGTGGTTTACATGTATTGTACGTGCAGTCTGATGTGCCCACTGGGATAAAATGAAGTACATGATTGTAAAATTGACCATGACATACAGTACCCGAGTAATAACTATCTGTATTGTGGTCTCTGGATTACGGAAGTGTTGCTGGTAGTGCTTCATAGCCTTGTCCCTCCTGCTGAACCCGTTGTGACAATGGTAGCAGTGCGAGTGGGCACCCTTGAAGTATTTCTGCTCTTGGGCATGGCCTGTGACAATTGAGTCTATCAAACACTGGTATCTGCTATTAAAGAATAACCAGCCCAGGTATCTGTCACTTTCATAAAACTTCCACAAATGCCACTATCTTGTCCTGCTGTCCACTGCCTTCAACTTATCTTAATTAACCCTCTGCCACATGCAGCACAGTGCATCAGGTGGAAAAGTCTGGTGCACTTTGCTGCATTTCAGCTATCAACACTGTCAGTGCATTAACAGCCAGTTCTGAAACAATGAGAGCTAATCCCATTGAACAATGCCTCAGTTGTATCCTGCTGCGTTCGAGGACCACAGACTCAGAGGCAATTTGGCCTTCAGACTTTTGACCTGATGGATCTTGCTGCACTCGGCTGGCTTGTCACTTAGACAAGTGTTGCATTCAACTCACATGGACCTTAAAAGTCATCTTGTAGCACGACCTGTGAAGAGAAAGTGAAAAACATTGTCCTTTGGCTTAACCTAAAACATATTTCTTGGGATCCAGTCACATGTATGCAAGCGCTTGGTCTTGTTCCCAAATGCAAACTCACCCCCAAAGTTGATGCCTTTATCCACGTGCTTGACCCTGTAGTGCGCCTTGAGGAGAATCTCATCAGTGAAGAGACTGTCCTGGGAGCAGAATGGACAGTGCAGATGCGGAGCCTTCATCAAGGAGTGGCTACACTCCCTGTCTGTGCATTGTATGGGTGTCCAGTCTGCCTCGGCGCCTTTCATCCGCACTGATGGATGCGCCTATAGTTGCGAAAAAAAAAACATGAGAAAAACTGTCAAGTAAACATGCATGATGTAAAAAAAAAAAATGTGAATGTATAAAACGGCTACGTCAATAAAATCAGTAGAAAATCTCATTTTCTACTCAAATCCAAATCTTCAAAGCAGTTTTCAACAAGGACAGCAAGGAGGTTCGGATGCGGTTAGGTATGGGCAGATCCACTCTTCGGCAGTGCAAGTATCTGCGCTCTCCCCACGTCAGCCTTGAGGTAAAGGTACAGCTTGCTTGGGCCCTAGTCATATCAAGGGTACTGTATGGTGCCACCACCCTGTCGTTGAAGGCAGCAGGCGTCAAACGCCTAGACAGTTTTGGCCGAACCATTTGGCGTCACCTACTCAACATCAAGTGGCAAGATCATGTGACAAATGAAAGACTGATGGAGATGATCGTCGACCGGTGGTGCTTCAGCAGTAGCACTGTGATGGAACGAAAGGCAGCATGGTTGGGCCATGTGGTCCGGCATGGCGGCATGGCGGCAGCTGTTGTGGATGGGATGTCAGTGGGATGTCGTCACTCCGTGGGCCGGCCAAAGATGCGCTGGGTGGACAACATCCCTGAATGGTCTGGGTGTGACACCAAGGAACTGAAAGCAGCAGCACTGGAAAGACGGGCTGTGGTGGGAGCGGCGCCAGTGATCCCAACTGTGTATAATTTGAAGAGGAGACCACGGGCAAATGCCTATGTCTAATTAATGAATGAATGAGTTTTCAAAGTGGTAGTTCATAAAAACCAGGCATAAAACATTTAACAAAGAAACCACTCGCAGATGGGATCTCTTTTGAGGCAGTGGAAGCGGTTTCGTTGGGAGCCAACAGTCACCTCGGAAAGAATGTTGCAACCTGACGCTACTTCAGCGGTTGTGTAAAAAGTCTATGGAGAGTCCAAAAAATTCAGTATTTCCTAACAAAATTGGAAATGTTTCCCAGTCCCAGATTCATGTTTTATCATATTTGCAATGACTGACCTTCATTGAGTTGATATATGAGGGAAAAAGCAGCATCAGGTTGCAACATTCTTTCCAACACCTCTGATTCTGAACAAACACAAGGAAGTGATGTAGAATAGTAGGGAGTACTGAGTACTACCCTAGCAGTCACTCCTAGAACTATGATGCTCCGCGTAGCGAAGCCTCATGGACAGAGAACCTCGCAAAATTGTTTGCTACTACAACACACCAACTAAGTACAAAAACGTTCATCAAAACATAGACATTTTCTACAGAACCGCTGCACAATTTGCCCATAAACTCCATACAATACCTCATGACATACGCACGTAAGTTGCGCCTAACAAACATCGCTGGATTCCGTCGGTTTTTGGGCCATAATGATGAAAAAATATGCCCTTTCCGCACTGAGCCAACCTGACTCTTGAAACGTGTACGCAGATTTGATCGATTGATGATTTTCTGTTCGCTCGGAGCACGCTGCAAGCAAATGATACGCTCATGCGTACAAGTGCAAGTACCGCTCCCCCGCAGCGTGCTCCGAGCGAACCGAAAATCAGTGATCGATCATTATCTTTGTGCACGTTTCTAGTGTCAGGTTGGCTCAGTGCGGAAAGGGCATATTTTTCATCATTTTGGCCTAAAAACCGACAGAATCCACCGATGTTTGATAGGCGCAACTTACACGAGTATCCTCGACTCACCATAATTGAGGCAGATAGCGCGTGTTGTCCAACGCAAATTGAATGCGAGTGCGTCAAAACATATCCTGGTCGTTTTGGTGGACTGACGATATGTCATGAGGGATTGTGCTGCAATTAACCATTTTGTGGGGTTCTGTGTCTATGCGGCTCCGCTCACGCGGAGCATCATAGTTCTAGGAGTAACCGAATACCGTAGCAGCAGCCATTCAATATTCATTGTGAAGTGTCCGGAAACTGGAGAATTTTACATTTTGCTTTCTTAAAATTACTTTTGCGACGAGGTGTCCAACTAAAGAATATAAACAATTGGTAATCCTTACTTTTAGGACCCCGTTCCTATATAGGAAGGGAAAGACTCACCAAAACAGCTGACTAAATGACACTTAATATGTTTGGCGCAGCAGATAAATTGACCTCCGAGTACGGAACTTTTCCTGGTTTAAGTTTGTGGAAAGAGGGCAGGGCTTTGATTTTAGAGGGAAATTGAGGGGTAAAAGATGACGATGACAACCAGAAAACAGACTCAAAAACCAAGATGGCAAACGTGAAAGCTTGATGCAATGAAAGCTTGATGCTGATTGGCTGACAAAAAATAAACATCTTAATTATTTTTTTTAGCAGCCAATCAGCATCGGGCTTTCATTATGTAGGGCTTTCACGCGTGTTGGAACTACAACATGCATGTCTGACTGTGAAAAAAGGTAGGAAAGTCACATTTTTTTGAAAGTGCTTTCAAAACTAGAAAAAAGACTGCTTTAGCCTGCAAAAGTCAATTGGTACTGGACAGTCATCTGCAAAAGTCAGTTTTGAACAGAACTTGTAAAAAATAGAGGTGTCCTAAAAGTAAGGATTACCAAACAATTTTCCACAATCTCTTGGGTACCTACCACATAGATAGCCATTTTCAATAACTCCTTTGTCTTGAATAATCACATAAATTGGGGGGGGGGGGGGGATTCAAGGGGAAAAACTCACACCCTCCAGAAAAAAAGAAAACATGGGTTTAAAGGGTTTCTGAAAATTCGATTCATTCCCAGTTGCGGCTTTGTCTACTATAATTATTTGAAGATTATGAAATTTCCTCACAGCTACTCAGAAAGCGTCAGTTGTCAAATAAGAATAGACAAATAGGTATTATTGGGCTTCCGTTACGGGAGACGTATGCGTCTCGTTAAAAAAAAGAAGGATGCCAGTTCAGTATATGAACCTGAAGCAGTTGTGAACTGCGATGGAGGCCGATGTTTCGAAAGAGCTTGCATGCCCATCGAACGACACATGAGGGCAGCATTCAACAACATAAACACGCGACTGTACGGCGCTGTCTTCCGAGTGGCCGAAACTGTACCTGTTGTTACCTTTGCCACTTTCTTATTACTGGTACGTCAGTATTACTAATTTTATTTAACCATTTAATAAATGGTAACATTAATTTGGTTGTTTATATTAGTTATTGGTGAAATCTGCATTATAGTATTTAGTGAAACGTCCAACTTGTCCAAGAAGTCATAGACGTACTGCGTTTATTGTATAGCGTGGCATCCATAGCCACGCACGGAGCGCTGAATCGCAAGGCACAAACCGCGCAGGAAAATCGTGGTTTCTATCCCAAAAATCCTTTCAAAATTGCAAAACGGGTGTCATTAGAACTGAGGAAAAACTGCTTTGATTGTAAAGGTGATTTTTGAGCAATAAAAAAAAACACTTCTGACTCCAATATGACCGAAACAAAACAGGGGCCCTACACTTCATGATCGCCGTAATTTTTCCCTAAATGACCTAGGCCTATCTGTATCAGCCGACTGAAAGTGATATTTTGTCCTAAAAAGTCTAAATTAGCAGTGACAAATTTTGAATTTTTACCGAGAAAACACTTACAAATTTTCAGAGCAGTCCCATAGGGTTTGTGCACAGTGTGACAGTGTGACAAGTGATGGCCAGGTATGGGAATCTTTCCCAATTAACATCAAAGGAAAGATTCCCATACACTGTATTATGGCCATAACTTGCCACCCTGTGCACAAACCCTATGAGACTGGTCTGAACATTTCTTAGTGTTTTTCTCAGTTAATACTTCAGTATTTTCCTAGCTCTACTGAAAGGAACGCTGGAACTTCGGTACGCATTTTCGTAAAAATTATTCACATTGCCAGGTTCATGGGCCGGTACGTATGGTCAACCTAGCCAACTGTGCAAACTGCAAAATGACACGGTTCCTGTGCCGTGCTGACCGGCCAATGTGGCCGTCCGTTCCCGGTGACATTGTTGCAGTTTGCCATTTTTCAACGGCATTAGAGACTTACTTGCAAATATTACCGAACTGAATTTTTACACTCTAAATATATTTCCATACCAAACTGTGTATTTCTTGCTATTTTATTTTTGATTTTACGGATGATCCTGCAGTTTTCTGATGAACCATTGCACTGCCCGAGAAACGATTGCTTGTCTGCAGTCCATCATGAATCGATGATGATGTCAATTCAAAAAGTCATAGTCAGTGATTTCGAAAGTTTACCTATGGCAAAAAGTCGGATTTAGTGATTTCAAAAGTTTACCTCTGGCAAAAAAAAAAAAATACCTTTAGGTTTCTTTAAGATAATGTAAACTTTTAGAATTGATCAAATTAGGTTTTGCCCTTCACCGACGTATAAACACTGTATACTCAGTCTGTTACCTCCCGAGTGAAAGTTGGGAAAAATCAAGCCGGTGGGACTCGAACCCACGATGTCCAGTGCTTTCTAGTGCAGGTGTCTTACCACTCGACCACCGAGCTAACGGGATCTGTTGGCCGGTTTGATTTGAACTTTAGCAGCGGGTACCGCATTAACTATTTATTGCCAAATCACCCAGTATTGCTGTTCCAATGTGCAAGGAAACAGATCATCTCGTACCTTGGGCAACTCGTACCTTGGACAACTCATACATTTAATGTGACATCATTATGCCAACTCGTACCTTGGACAACTCGTACCTTCAATAAAGACGTCTCGTTCCATTACGTGTAAGTCAAGTCGTACTGAATCAATTAAAAGTACAGACTGCTCTAGTAATATGTGTTTTAATTTTGGTTATTAGACTTCGCAAGAAAACGAATGCAGGAATTACTTTGACAGTCACCATATGTGAAGATGAAATGGTTACTCTCTCCTATTCATCTCAACATTTATTTCCATATTTTAAAGAACTTTCAGGTAACGGAAAGATTTCCATATATGAAGTTCACTAATTTTCCTCTGTATTGACTAACAAGCCCCCAGATAGCAATTTCTCGTCATCAAAGTCAATTTGAGCATTGAAAAAATACAAGCATTTTCTTAGAAAACACTTAGAATTTTTCAGTCCAATCTCATAGGGTTTGTACACAGGGTGTTGAGTGAACTTCGTATATGGAAATCTTTCCCAGGTAACTATATAAAAAGGTCAAGAAACGAATGTTTGTTAAAAATATGAGATTAATGATTATGTAAAGACACAACTGAAAAAAAGTAAATTTAGAGAAAGTAAATCTTTAAATTTGCTTTCTCTTATTTTGTCTCTGTTTAATTCTTTGCTAAAGCTCGTTCTGGATGAGAACATCATAAGCTTTGAACTTGCTACCTTGGTACTGGTGCACACAGAATGCGCATCGGGCACTGAAGCATTATAAAAAAAGTTTCCAAATATTCTTGAAGTAAATTAACTAACGCTTCTTGGCAGCAATAATCCTTCTGTTTACAAAAAAGGACCACCCCACCCCCCCAAGAAAAATGTACTTAAAGAAAACAAAATAAAAGTTTTCAAATATTCTCTAAAGGGTACAGTCCATCATTTGTAAATTGTGTATTTTATTCGTTTGAAGCAACAAACACGCTCAAAATCTAAAGAAGGGTACTGAACAACTAACCTGATGAAGTTTCAGCTCAGCTTCAGTGTTGGAGACACGTTCTCACTGAGCTAATTGCAGCTACACAATGTCACGCACTGATCTGATGAATTAAAACAACCGCGCGAGCATGTGCATCGTGTCAACGCTTGCGCGTACTTCGCCAACTAAAAAAAGGAACTACTAACGGAAATTTCCAACCATGTGCCTTTAGATGCATCGTTGGAAAGGCCTTCTTTCATTGATTTCTTCCCAATGACCGCATGCCAGAACAAATAATTTCACAGGGAGTTTTTGTCCCCTTACTATCTTTCAACCAAGTAGTTATTCAACACTAAATATCGTTTTGGATAGCTGCAAATGATGGACTGTAGCTTTAAATGATCACTTAAACTTCTTGGCAGCAATAACAAAATATTGAGTGCATACATGTATGTACATGTACATGTATATAGCCACGTTCATGGGTCTATATCAAGCCATATCTTATTTTTCTTCTGAAAACAACATAAGAATGTATACATGTCATCAATAGCAGCCCCAATGCAGTATACAAGGTAGAAAAGCCACCAAAATCATAATTTTTTTCATATTTTAGTATAAAGCATAAATAATGAAATGTCTTTCCTGAAGAGAGTCAGAGCATACTGACCGGAACGTCGAGTTGATACCTCTGGTGCTTTTCAGAACCATTCTCTTAGTTGAGAAGCCTCAACTCTTACTTAGAAAGCATAATTCTGTTTCAAGTCGACCAAATGCTTCGTAAATGATTGCTGCATGGTTTGAAGTAAGCTTAATCTCATCTGGGTTTGGATAATAGGGGAAAAGGGAAAACTTTAGTATTTGCCAAATTTCAAGGCCTCCGCCAATTTTCAACTGCTGGACAAAAACTAGATGTGCCTCCAGCTCTACATGTCAAATTCGTGATGAGCATTGGAGCTGGAGTTTCTCATCTCCATCTTGTATTGCAAGTTTTCAATACCTTAATATTTGGGACTCTCATAGACAGTATTGAGAGTCCCAAATGTTTGGACAACTATTGGAAGAGTTCCACATCTGGACATCACTTGACACCCGGTGCACAAACCCTAGGAGACTGGTCTGAAAAATTTGAAGTGTTTTCTTCATAAACGTTTCAATATTTTCCCTGCTAAATTTGACTTTTAAACATGTCATCCGTTTCTGATGGCTGATAGGTCACTGTGGGGAAATATTAGTGATGTGCATGCAATATGTATGGAATTCTTCCCCAACTATTTTTTCCCCAGCAGTCAGAAAATGACGGAGGCCATGAAAAATTGCCTCAACTGAAATTGTCCTTTTCCCCGATTATCCAAACCTAGTTGAGATTAAAATGATTATTTTGGTGGCTTTTCAGATAGAACCGTCGCGTCGCAGCCGTGTTGTGGCGACATTTACAGCTCGCATCTCATACTGGTATGGTATCCACATATACATCGCACTGCCTAGAGACATGTACACGATATGGTTACCATACTATTTTCAGGTGCACGTTGTGATTTCAAATTTTGACCCTCCCCCTAGATATCCCACTGGTCATAAGGGCAGATCCAGAACACAATTTTTGGGGGGGGGCCAAAAAAAAATTTTGTTCCCCCAAAAAGTGGGTCAAAAAATTACGGCGTGGGGTTCGGGGCCCGCTTAAGGGCCCCGAAAAATTTTGGATTCTAGATGCTCTGTGGTGCGATCTGAGGCAATTTCTGACCACTTTAACCAATTTTTTTTTAGGAAAAGATGGTGGTGTACTCATTGCCTGCCTTTATTGCAATGTCACATTAAAAAAAAAAAAAATTGGTTTCGTTTTGGGGGGGGGGGGCCATGGCCCCCTTTGGCCCCCCCCCCCCCCTGGATCCGCCCTTGACTGGTCATGGCTTTTAATAGTATACAACTGCTGTATGTGCAGTTTCTTTATATTTCCAGTGTGTTTTTGGTCCAACGTAGTAACACCAAAATGGATGAGAAGCAGGGACCAACTTCTGATGATGTCCCAACTGGGGAGGTAACGTCAACCACAGTTACAGAGGGTGATGTTGTCAAGATGCCAACAGATGTGGCCATCACTATGGATGCTATTCCCAATGAAGATGAGGAGGACAAATCCAAAGGTGACTTGTTATTCTTTTACATGGTGAAGACGTTTGCTCCTTTGCCAGGTCAGCTAAGTGTAATCCCATTCATGTGATTTTGTCCATTCTTGCTTATTGGAAACTTAACACTTTAACCCAGTGAAATTAATTTTGCTGCAAAATAGTTTAGTTGCTTTCCAGGTAAGTTTTTTAAATTGGGGGAATGAGGGTTCAATTTCATAAAAAAAATTGCACCTTTACTTGGTACTTGGTACTTGGTGGTTATCCTGAATACTCCATGTGGAAGTCTAGCAAGGAGGCCTTGGGGAAGTGGAACTAAATTAAATCCTTAAAGGTGTTGTGGTTTGGGGCGTCTATGGTGTCTTGAGGGAGCTTGTTCCATTTCCGGATAGTTCTGGGTAGGAATGACTGCATATAGATGTCTGTCTTTGCTGCAATTTCTGTGAACTGGTAGTTGTGAATTCTACGAGCTGGTGCTGGTTTGGGGACTATGGATGATGAGTTAATGTGAACTACATGTATGTTGTGTATTATTTTAGTAGGTAAGTAGGTAAGTTCGTTAATTTTCCTTCTCTCTTCCAGTGAAGACCAGCCTAGGGTTGTCAACATGTTGGTCACACTGCTCAGTCTGGAACAATCTCGCATTACGAAATGAGCAGCCCTCATCAGTTGCACTTTTTCCAGGAATGTTATGTTATTAGCTATGTGAGGGTTCCAAGCAATGCTGCCATATTCTAGGTGTGGTCTGACTACTGCTAAGTACAGCTTTTCTTTGACTGATCTGGATGCAGAATGAAAATTTATTTTGATGAAGTTCAATATACGACTTGCTTTGGAAGTGGCATGTGCTGCTTGGTGATTCCAACTTAGGTTATTCTGAATGATTATTCCCAAATATGTCATGTTGGTTTTCTCTACGAGGTTGGATCCTAACATGGTGTCGTTAGTTTTGCCGGGGGCCCGCTTCCCGGAGATTCACATGATGTTACATTTGCTGGAGTTAAATTTCATTCCCCAGGTTTGCACCCAGTGAGCCAAGTTGTCCAGGTCTTTTTGGAACATCAGTTCATCAGTTGATGAGCAGATCTTCCGATATAACAGGCAGTCGTCAGCGAAAAGGCGAGTTGTGCCAGTCACCGATTTGCTGATGTTGTTGATGAAAAGTAAAAACAGGTGGGGGCCAAGCACGGTGCCTTGTGGTATGCCACTGTCGACACTTTGCCATTTCAAAGATTTTCCATTTACCACAACTCTTTGTGACCTGTTGGTTAAGAATTCCCTGATCCATCTCTGTGTTTTTCCCCTTATCCCGTAGTAGTCTAATGTTTGGACCAGTTTTTGATGAGAAACTATGTCGAATGCTTTGGAGAAGTCAAGTACTGCCATGTCTGTGGTGATTTGTTACGAGTTGGGATTTGCAGGACAGGCCTTTACGAAAAGCATGCCGGTTTTCGTTCAGGATGTCGTGTTCCTGGAGGTGTTTCATTTATTGGCTATCAATGATGTGCTCTAATAACTTAAAGCAAACAGAGGTCAACGACACAGGTCTGTAGTTTGCCGGGTCTGCACGAGAGCCTTTCTTAAAAATGGGTGTTACGTTGGCTTTCTTCCAGTCAGATGGAAGAGAACCCAGGTCAAGTGATTGTTGGAATATGAATGCGAGTACTGGGGCAACTTCATTGGCAGCTAGTTTCAAGTTGAGCGACGTCAGTAACTTGAGGACTCCTCTAACAGACACGGTGATGTTTGTCAAGTCTGGGTAGGGACTCGGTGGTAGAACTGGCTGCACATCGGTGTCATCCCTGCTGAAAACACTACAGAATTAATCTTGTAGGGTTTCAGCTTTTTCTTGGTCAGATGTGATATTTTTCCCGTTGAGTTTTAGAATCTGAACCCCTGTGTTGTCTTTACGAGTGCTGTTTATGTAGCGCCAACATTTCTGGGGGTTACCTGTAGATGTAGTTTCTTGTAAATGTGTGCGTTTAGCCCTTCGGATTTCGCTGTTCACTTGCTTTTGCAAAAGTTTGAATGTAGACCGCTTGTTACTGCCTTCACATAGCTGCGCTCTTTCTTCCTGCAGCAACGGATTAGGACAGTAGTGAGCCATGAGGGTCTAGAATGTCCCTGGACTGGTTTTTGTGGTACTAATTCGTTAGTTTTCAGCCTGTCCCTAAAAATACTCCAATTTGCCTCAACTGTTCTGGTTTCTGGAGATGACTGCATGAATTCGGTCTTAAGCTCGAGGACAGATTTTTTCAGCTTGGATTCATCCACGTCATTCCACTTGAAGATGTTCCTAGGGGGCCTGACAGAGCGAGGTGCGGTGATGTTTATGTCAGCTAACACTGTTGCGTGATCACTAATTCCGGAGTTGCTGTAAACATTACAAACCAGAGTTGGACGTGTGGTGAAGAGCAAATCAAAGATGTTATCTGTTCCTGTAACTTGGTCTCTCCTTGTAGAAAAATTTGCCTTTTGTTCGAGATTGTAGTCATCTTCGATGTTGATAATTTTGGATTGAATACCGTTTGCAGAGAAAGTACATGTACCAGTCCTTGAGTTCCAAAGCATGCCCGGGATGTTGAAGTCTCCTCCAAGAATGATGAATGGGGAGTTTACCTGAGCCTGCAATTTACTCAGACTTCTGTCTAGGTTTTCTAGAGATTCTGGCCTGTAGGAGTCGGGGGCTCTATAATATGCAGAGATGAAGATGTCCTCTCCTTTCGGCTTGAGCGGTAGTTGGCACCAGAGTAATTCACAACCATCTTCAGAAAGTTCAATGGCTGAGAAACCATCCTTAACCAAGATAAAGACACCTCCGCCACGTCTGTCGTTTCCTCTGTCCTTGAACCTTTGTTCAACTGTCAAACTTGTGAATTTCTGATGAATGAATGAAAAGTTTACAAAGCCATTCATATCTTAAAACATTCATTCTTTTATAAAGCCCTGTCCGCACTGGACTTTTTTTGGTCAAACTTACCGAGACTATGGGTACTTTTCCTGTTTTAAGTCCAGTGCGGACAGCCTAGGACGTTTTCCTCTTAGTTACTTTTCCTGAGTCCAGCGGTTACTTTTACTGGCCAACTGCTGCCCAGGAAAACTGACCACGCGCCCAGGAAAATTGACCAGGTCACTTTTCCCGAGACGATAAGTCCAGTGCGGACAGTGCGAGTTGGTAAAAGTGGCTCAGGAAAGTGACATCCGGCCCGAGTGCGAGTATCATGCATACAGAAACAGCACGATCCCACACGTGATGTGGCCGAACATTTTGTGGAAACACGTACGCTGCGGTGTGTCAAGTCCGAGCGGTAAAAGCTTGTTATAAATATATTTTAACAGAGAATACATTCACAGAAAATATCAAGATCACCTTCTGGGAAATACTTTGCAGTCATTCTTTTTCTCCACCAATGTTTGTTTTGTATTTTCTACGATCCAATTTCGTCCTGTTACGCCGTGTAGTCTGCATGGCACCGTACGTAGGCCGCAGTCCCTGGTTCCGGTCCTACAGTGTACATCATAGCTTTGATTCTGTTAGCATGCGGTGGGAACCAGCGATTACCGATGGAACTGCTGCCGCATGGCTTCGATGTCGTCCATCACAAATGCATCAGAATAGTAGGCATTTTCGTCAAGATTTATCGTGTCAAGATGAAATAACATCGTATGTTACGATTTATTGTGCATTTTAATGGTGTGTGTAATATTATACTGTGCGTATCGGGGGCTGAAAAAAAATGTGATCGCCATTTTATTTCCTGTGCACGTGACTGTGACAGCTCGGTCACTTCTCCCACACGGTCTGGGTAAAATTTCCTGTGTCGAAAGTCCAAGTGCGGACAGTGGTCACATTTGACCATTTCTCATTTTACCATCGTCTCGGTAAAACCTTCCAAAAAAAAATCCAGTGCGGACACGGCTTAAGATGGAATTTTGCGTCGTGAGTGATTTTTTTCCAAATTTCACTCGGGAGGTACCACACTGAGTATACAGTGTTTATACGTCGGTGCAGGGCGAAACCTAATTTGATTCATTCTTTTGTTGATTAATACAAAGCCCATTAAAAAAGGCAAATAAATATATCACAATATTATGAGGCATCAATAAAGTATCAAGTATCAGAAAAGCATACTAGTTCAAATACCAGAATGGTGATAGTACATAGCATTATTTGTGCTTGGCAGTTTTGAATTACGCACACAACAGCAGCTTGTAGAAATTGGTCATTTTTGGGAACCGTCCAAATTAAGATATTTATATATGGGTTTATCTCTTACTTTACAATGAGGTTCATATTTTAAAGCATTAATCTTTTTTCAGGTACTGTGTACAATTGTTGTACATCTATATTAACAGTATTCAACTTTGGGATGTTTCTTATTCAAAATTTGCAATTCATTGATCTGTTTGTCAGTGTGAACTGATTTTGTTGTGCAGTGTCTCACTTAAAAACTCATAATTAAACTTACAAATATCTCATGCTTAAAAAAAAATCAAAGTAAACTTATTTTCTCTGATTGGAGTTGGTCTTTTAATTTGTTTGTTTTTGTGCATCAGGTCTTGACCCACAAGATAACCATTCCACCAGCACCTCTGACGTACCGATGACTGGGGCTGCCATGACGGATCCTTATCACTATCTGACGCAACAGCACTTCACCTCAGAGATCTTCAAGATTGAGATCCAAAACCTCCCAAGATATTTTGGATTTGCGGTGAGTTTGCTCTCTATGCTTTCAACTCTCGATAATGATAATACAGTTTGTGCTCTGTTAAGAGTTCATAATGTTTTCCATGGTGAAGATTTCTCAGGGTCTTTTTGTAATTTTGTTTAACAGAATTTAAAGGCAATTGGATGAATTTCACTAAAACCTGGAAATATCCTAGCCTCATGTCTATATGAAAGTAATGGTAAACTGCATGTACATGTAGAAAGTTGTAATCTTTTTTCCAGTGCACTTTTTACAATGCCCGTACACTTTAATAGTTGTTTCTTCTGTTGCTGTGATATCGCTCTAGGTATTTCACATTTACAGCTTTGTGATTTTCTGTGTAACTTGTGAAACTAAAAATCATTGCATTGCAGTTTGTTGTTAAAGTATCTGACTGACTGCCTGTGCCTCGTGCACAATGAACAAACAGTCACATCAACCTCAACCAGAACACTTTGTAACTTTCCGTCCTTAAACAGCAGTGACACTGAAGTTCCAGCTCATGACATCACTGTATTGCTCATGAATATGGAACTTGGCACTTTCTTAAAAGTATTTTAAAGCCTGGAGCATCGTAACCCTTCATCAACTAAAAACCTCAAAATCTGTTTTAAACACACTTTAAATATCTGCAGTGGAAAATGTAGGGTCATACTGTACAAATGTACAAATGTAGATGTTTGTGCCAATTCATGTATACATATTTTCACACAGACAAAGTTTAAAAACAAACATGCTCATTTAAACGCACACAAAAACCTCATTTAATGTGTACATAAGTATGCAGTTTTGTAATCCATTTGCCTAGACGATCATTTCCAAGTATTTCTGAACCAAGAATGTAAGATTTGCTGTGATCTGGCAGATGCAAGATAGGCGCAGACACAAGTGGCGCTTTCAGCGTGCTCAATGCATGTTCCTGTGCCTCTTCCCATTTCACATGATTTGGTTTTCCTTTCTTAGTCAGATCGGAAAAGTTCGGAATGAATTTGCAGTAGTAATTAACAAGGCTTATAAGTGATCGAACTTCCTTTTTCATTCGTGGACAAGATGCATTCAGGATTTTTGTGATCTTTTCCGTCTGTGGCTTTACAACACCGTTTCCTACAATGTGCCCTAGAAAATCAAGGAAATCATATCCGGCCATAATTTGCCTTGCGCAAGGGGTTCAAAACATCTTGAATTGTTTCGATGTGTTGTTCCCAAGTATCCGTTTATATTAGAATATCATCAATGAAATTCACGACATGCTGTATGTTTTCCAGCAATTTTCTCATCATGCGTATGAAAATAGCCGGTGCATTTACCGTTCTGAAAGGTAACAGAGTGAATCGAACTATGTACTTTTTGAGGAGATTTGGGTGAAATGTGTGTGGCTTACTGTTCAACTCAATACAGTTTTCGTGTTGTGCAACTTTTCGTAATACAGGAAATGGCCCTTTCCATTGCATGAGTCATTTGTTCACGTCAGTTGGCAGGACAACTAATACTTGGTGACCGGTATCAAACTTTTGATCTCAAGTACGCGCGTCGTAGTATTTCTTATAGCTAGTACTGGACTTCGCGAGTTCTTCTCAAGCTAGTTCGCAAGTAGACTCTAGCCGTTCACACAAGTCTATGACATACTGGTAAGTTGTCTTTACCTCTTTATCTAATTTTTCTCCAGTCCATAACTCTCTGAGGATAGTAAGAGGACCTCGTACTGAACAACCGTACTGTACATGAGCTCAAAGGGAGAGTAGCCCGTGCTCTCTTGTGGAGATTCTCAATACGCGAACAACAGCGCAGGGATATACCGATCCCAATCACGCGGTCTCTCACTGCACATGCGCCTTAACATTCGTTTCAGTGTACCGTTGAATTTCTCAACAAGTCCATTACAGATTGGATGGTAGGGTGTAGTTTGCAGTTGTTTCATTGACATAAGTCTGCCTATTTCTTTCATTAGATCGGAGGTGAATTGTGCGCCCATATCTGATAGCATTTCATTTAGATCATTGGAGTGAAGATTTCAAACAACGCTTCCATTACGCGTTCTGTTTCAATAGGGCTACGGCTTCCGAATAGCGCGTTGCATAGTCGACCAAAGTCAGAATGTGAATTGGTCCTATCAAGTCTACGGCTACTCGTCTAAACGGCGTATCAATTAAAGGTATTCTACCTACATGTAGAGTAACCGTGCCGACACGACCTTTCGCGACCGTTCTTTGGCATATGTCACAGGAAACGCAGTATTTTCTGATGTCGCCTTGCACGCCTGGCCAAAAGAAATTTGCAAGTACGCGGTCTTTTGTTTTCTTGATACCAAGATGCCCTGCCATGGTGGAATTGTGTACATGCTTCAATACCATAGAGTGCATTTTCTTTGGGAGTACTAACTGTGTGATTACGCAATTTTTTCTGTCGACGGTGAAGCGAATTCATGGTAGAGTAATCCGTCCGAGACGAAATACCTAGTTTCGTTATCCTTACCCGTTCGTCGGCTTTGACCTGTTTCCCAGAGGGTCAATAGCTTTTCCAACAACGGATGTTCATGTTGCGCTTTAATTATTTACGTACGAGATTCGGAGAGATTTTGCACTTCGGGAGCTTTAAGATGACGCAAGTTCGTGACTTTCTTTAGCTTTTGCGCTCTTGTCTCAACTGCAGCTGTTTTCTCGTCGCGAGGGCTTTGGCATTTCTGTTCCGGTGTGTCATTTGGTTTACCTGACCAACTGGGATCAGGATCACGTGGGTCTCTAACACCTGTTATGTTTCCCTATAATATCGTACAATGGATTTGGCATACACAATGCATTCACGATTCCTACAAAATACAGCGAATCTATTTCAATACGCGCGACTGAAACATTTTGTGTACTGTCTAGAAGAACACACTTTTGTTTTGGCTCCAACATTTGTTCCTTCTACTAGACTCTGTTTGACGACAACAGTACTACATCAGCTATCACGCAGAACCTTAATTAACCGTTTCGTTGCCCTACTGGAATTTGATTACCGATTGTACACGTGACACTAATCATGGGGACTTCATGCCCACAAGACAGTTTCAAATTTTCTCCTATTTGACCTGCACATTCGCATAGTGCAGGCCTCGATCTTGGGCAAAAAAGGGGCAGGCCACTTTGGCCTTGCCCTCATCAAAATTCCACAGGGCACCAAGGCCAACTCAAGGGGGCACCAAGGCCAATCATTTCAATACCTTTAATTTACATTTATTTACAGCCATTGTATACACGCCTATTTTCTAGGTCACATAAACAATCAAGAGTATTCAGTTCTTGTACAAATGTACATGTACACCATGTCCAAAGAGCTTCGTTACCGATTTCGCTTTATCGCTTGTAGCTTCTGTTCTGTTTCTGTTGCTGTTCCATAAACGTACAAACACCTAGAAGGTTGTCGACGTACGTTGGTCAGGGTCAGGTGTGCAGCAACTAAATTCTTGATTGGGTTTCGGAAGCCAGGTCTTTAATGTTAATGTTGTCCAGTGCCAGTTTGAAAGTCTTAATGTCAGGTGAAGAGCGGATGTTAGGGTGAAGTTGATTCCATTCTAGGATGGTCTTTGGGTAATTGAGTAACGAAAGCAGTCCTTATTTGTGGTGATGACTCTATATGAGAAAGGTCCGGTCTGTCTAGTAGAAACCCCCCTTGATGAGTTGACGATGTTCAGATAATCTTCCATATTACTCGGTGTAAGCCCATGGGTTTCTTTGTAGAGTGTGACTAATCGAACTTTGGTCCTTCGATCTTGAAGAGTGTCCCATTTGAGTTTATTCATCATTGCTGAGATGCTTGACTCCCTGCTGTAGTCTTGCATAACAAATCTAGCTGCTCTGTGTTGAATGCTTTCTAATTTCTTTTTATCCGACGCATGATGAGGATCCCAAATGGCGGAACAATATTCTAGCCTTGGTCTGACTAGTGTGTGATACGCAATGGACTTGGTATTACTGTTGCAGTGGTGGATGTTTCTCTTGAGTAGCCCGAGCATACGATTGGCTTTAGAGATGATCTGATCAATGTGAGTGGACCACTTGAGATCATTACTGAGTTCAACCCCCAGGTAGGGATGGTGTTTAACCTCTAGAAGTTTGGCACTACCCATGTGATACAGTACCGATCATTGTAAACCTACCACCGGTTAACGGTAACCAATGGTTACCTATAATCCTCCCGATAATCTCATTGCGTTTGGACGAAAGGCCACAAAACGGCATGCTTATCCGATTGGTAAACAGTCTGCGGTCAGGCTAAGGTTGTAAACTTCCTGCCTTCGTTCATGGATTCTATAAACAACGTTCCCTCCTGCAGCAGCCTACACATCGTTTTATTGTTCCAGTACACGCACTTGTGGTTAGATAATGCAGTCGTAAAATCCTTGAGTCAATTATCTGCTATTGTGTATCAACTTTTGACCACGATCTTTCCAGCTACAAGAAGGCATGCTGACCGATGTATGGTGCAAGTACCTCCAAGGCCGCTTATCATCAAAGATATATACAATGTATAAGTTTTGAAGTTCGCCTGTCAATCATCGTCTCGAAATGGCTTTCCAGACAAGAATATATAGGACACTATTTTATTCCCCGGCTGTAATTGGGGAACATGTATACAAATGTGCTTGGTCGTTTTTTAAAGTAAAACAACGACAAACACCTACACGAACTCTCCGTTAAATATCCTGTGGATTTCTGGGAAACATTTAATAGGAACTATGCTTAGTTTCTTAACAAATAATATCAAGGTAACCAGCATCCCTTGGACCATTAACTGAACGTCAAAGAATATTTTTAATATATATTCTAGACAAATTTGTCTGGTCCTCTCGATTTTTGAAACAAAACAATTCCCTACATCCTAGCCCATTAAATTCTGAACTCCTCGTTAAATCCTGCGAATTCGTGATTTTATTTAATATGAATTGTTCTAAAGTTTTTCTTATTTTTAAAAGAATAAGGGTCAAGATTACCAACAGCCCTTGGTCTTTTAATCGAACAATC